CCTTGGTGTCTACCCTGGCTGAAAGAAGCCCAGCAGTAGATTTGCTGAAGAGAGTTAAGTAGTACTTGGATGTAACTCAGTGGTAGAATGCTTACCTAGTGAGTGCAAAGCTCTGGGTTTGATTCCCCAGCATGGGGGTCAGGGGGTAGGGGGTGACCAAGGGAGCTATGTATATTCTGAATGAAGGTCCAACAACCTATGAACTTGACTCTTGCCAGAAGAGGGTGGTAAGGAGATGGACAGTGGCTGTCAAGTGCCAGCAGTGACTTGTGCTTTTAGAACCAAAGCCCTGATTCCTTAATTAGATTCATTAATCATTAGAGCTAAAGCCCAGTGGTCACACAGCGATAGTTAAGGGGCGTACTGGAAAGACCACGCAGGGGCACCAGGAGCAACAAGTCCACAGCTCCAGCCCACCCAGGAAGGAAGGAAGGAGGCCACAGCGCTGGGTCACCATGATTTCCCCACAGGCTACTTCAAGTCAGTGGTAAAGACTCTGGAGGGATGGGTGTCCCTGGATTTACTCTAGAGCACCAGAGACAGGCAGGGTCACAAAAAAGGGACAAACACAGGAACACACACACACACCACCATAGCCTTGGAAATCGTTTCTAAAGAGGGCCAGAAGGCCTCAGCCATGCCCGTTCCCAGAACAGACCATCTAAAGGACCTGGCTTTTGGAGCCCCAGGTGAGGACCAACAGGACTCCTCTTGCCAGCAGGTTCTGGGGTTCAGATGCAGCCGCAGAGGAGCTTCCTCAGAGAGACAGATGGGAGAGACTCCCCTGTCTTACGCTATTCAGAAAGCTGCGCCATTGCTCTGAAAAATCAATCCTAAAACGTCATAGTCTTTACTACTTCTAGTCTAGACATGAAAACAGATCCTCAGCAGTCACAGAACTCAGCGAGCAGCAGGCTGCAGGTCAGGCCCAGCTCTCACCTCAGCTTTGAGGCAGGACCCAGTGTCCTTGCCTCTGTCCCAGTGGGCCCTGGGCCCTGTGTGAGGGACGTTGTGTTTTGGAGAGAGCAGATGTAAGAAACAGAACAGTCCGTTTGTCAGGGAGCCAGAGCAAGTCACTGTTATGACAAACCAAGGGAAGAAGCGAAATCAAAATGCAGTTCATTATCACAGCTTTATGTTTCTCACTGTGAAAAATTATACTGTCCATTACAGTCAGACAGTACGACTTAGAGGTTTTATAATTCCCTACTGAGTCATGAACCGTGCTACATCAAAGTCAAAATCTACAAAAGCAACAGAGGAATTAAAAAATCATTTTTTAATGAAACGGCAATGTCTACAAGAGTCAGCTCTGTGTCCCACATAGTGCTCTGGTTGTGTTTTGTGGGGATTCTGATCCTGACCACCACCCTGAATGGAGTCTGCATCTGTCACCCCAGTGCACGAGGCTCCACTGGGGTGGATCTCGGACTCTGCCTCTGCCCCACCCCATGTCTGTGCCAAAGATGCCTGTTCCGTTCAACTCTGGCACTGCGCACGGAAGCCTCACTCTTTGTCTGCCTGCCCTGCCCTCCCCTGACTGGAGTTACATCCTCCCATCCCTTCCCCTGTTCTGTGACGAGGGTCCAACATCTGAGTCACACAGCTGTACGGTGAGCATCACAGTCCTTTCACAGCCCAGTGTCACATGGCCATCGAGCTTCGCGGGAAGCTGCCTCCAATGCGTCACTCACCCAGAGGACCTAGAGAAGGGCTGTGGTGAGAGTGTGAGCACTTGCTATCAGTGCTGGAGGGGTAGCCAGCTCCATCTGAGGGGCTGAGTCCCCACCCTTCCCTTCTGGAACGTCATCCGTGTCCCCAGAGTGCACATCTTCCTCCTGCTCTCTCAAATGACAGGGAACCGCAGCTGCCTCTTGGCCTCCCGTAGCCCAGAGCACAGTCCCCATGAACAGATGCCAGCTAGCGCCAGAAAGTAGATTGGAGGAAATTTCCCACCGAGGTCTGGGCTGGATTCATTCACTGGTTTTCTTGGACTCTGGCTGTAAATCTAGCCCACCGTGTGGAGCTTGAATTGAAAACCTTGTGTGCTGCTTCTGAGCTACAGCCTCACAAGCGTGGGATGAGCAGGCTGTGTCTTCATCGAGATTGTCTCTGCCTTTGGCCAAACTAAGCTGGAGTGGGTTTGTACGGTGTCTCATCTCCTCCATATCCAGGTTTACCACAGGCCCAGATCTCCTGGCATGTGGCCTGCCCGCTCCTCCCAGGCACAGCTGTGAGCAGGGTCAGCACACGGAGGCCCTCAGAACTACTGAGTACCCGTGAGTGAACGTCACTCCCACAACTCACTCTCTTCAGTGTGAACTGTCGCTCTCAAATGCCTGATGTAGGACACAGCCACTTGGTGATAGGTAGTGGCACATTTTCCTCTAATCACCTCAAGCAGGGAGGCCATGTACCCAGGAACTGAGGGGGTGGCGCCCTCTCAGCCTCTGCACCTTCCTGCTGAGTGGATGTGCATGGCTGTCATGGCTCGACATACCGTCACAGCCCAGGATTAATGGAGAGGAAGCAGGGTTCACCTTGCTTCCACAGGCGAGTGGATATGGGTTTGGAGCAATCACTAGAGGGGCCTATCCATACTGAAGTCATATGAGTAGTTCACCTCACTCTGAATCCTCATCGGTCTGATTTTGAACTTGAGTATGTCCTGTGAAGCCCCTTGTATTAACAGCTAAGCCCACTGAGTGACACTTTATCCTCTGAAGCCTGACAACATTCAGACTCCTCCATAATCACTAGGGCATTCACTAGAGCTGCCCAAGCAAGGAACATGAGATCATGGCTTGTTTGAAATCTTCTTCTTCTTCTTCTTTTTTTTTTTTTTTTGGTCTTTTTGGGACGGGGTCTCCCTGTAGCCCCAGCTGTCCTGGAACTCACTATGTAGACCGGCTGGCCTTGAACTCACAGAGAAGCGCCTGCCTCTGCCCCCCGGGGGCTGGGGTTAAAGGCATGTGCCACCACGCCCAGCAACTTAGTTCTTCTTCTTGCTGGTGCTGTTGGATAAGCTCATGCTCCTTAGTGAGCAAGCCGGCCTCCTTAGCTCTTCTTTTTAGTATTTTTTTTTTAATTTTATGTGTCCAAGTATATTGCCTACACATATGTAAGTGCACCCATGTTATGTGATGCCCACAGAGGTCAGAAGAGAGTGTAGGAGTCCTTGTGAACTGGAATTAGGGACAGTTGTTAGCCGCCATGTGGGTGCTGGGAATCAAACCCAGGGCCTCTGCAAGAGCAGTCAGTGCTCTTAACCGCTGAGCCATCTCTCCAGCCCTTGATTAGCTCTTAAATACAAAAGATAGAGTTGTGTGGCTCTCATCCCATCCCAGCAGGAAGCTGACCCTCCCAAGCCACCAAAGAGCAGTTATGCAAGGACACCCCTGGGCACAGCCCCACTCTTGCGGTGCCTCTCATCTTCTGAGCAGCCTCTTCTCAAGCAGTGCCCTCTTCCAAAGTCTTATTCCCTTTCCCTGTCCCGTCCAGCATGGTGCAGCCTGTTCTCAGCAGCTTCCGCCAGTACCTGGCAGTCTTGAACCCTGCAGCACACACCTCCCTTCAGGATTCTGAGCGGCCTGTCCCTTCACTGAGCTTCCGGGTTTCACTCATGCTTCTCCAAAGGTTCTGTGTTTCCAACAGCTCTGAGCCTAGACAGGCTTTATGCTTCCTGCCTTCCCTCCAGAACTTGTTGCTGGGAAACAATACTGCTCCCCCTGCAAAGTCACCTCCATGTGCAGCTCCCTGGGGCAGCAACATGCGGTGGCCTGACTTACACACTTCCCTTTGAGCCTGAGCATAAGTGCTCACTGGGTTTTGCCTTTGTACTCTGTCACGCTAGGAGCAGCAGTTCTTGACTTGAAGACTGTTGAGGATGTGCATAGAATTGAGCAGCCTTCACCAGACCTCTTGGCAGGTGTACCTGTTCCTCCTCTCAAGCCTGCAGCCTGTTATATTGATGTGTCTGACTCGCAGGAGACTGTCTTTGCACCTGGATGTGTGGCACAAGACTACCAAGTACTTGTTGGATGAGTTGAGAGAGTTTGAGGGCAGAGGTCATATCATGGGCACCTTGTGATTTCCTTGGAGCCCAGGACAGTGCCTGCATGTGGGGTAACAAGAGGGGCCCAGCCAGTCAGAGTACACGAGGTACAGACTGCATGTGGGGTAGGCCATGGACAGAGACTTGCATCCCATGTACACCATGTGCTGTGGGCGGTGGTAGCACCTGGGAATCAATAACTTGGGATGAAATATGCCTTGGGACTAGGAGGTACTCTGCAGCCTGCAGTTACTCCATGCACACCCTACACACTTCCAGCCATTTCCTTTTAGAAAGATCCGTCCAACCTCGAAAGATGAGACCTGGGGGTCTAGCCTGCTTTTATGTTTATTTCTTTATCTTGGGGACCGGGGCGGGGTGGCGGGGTGCATGTGGGTATGCGTGTGCCACGGTGCACATGTGGAGGTCAGAGGACAGCTTGAGGGAGTTCGTTCTCCCTTCCACCCTGTGGGTTCTGGTCCTCAGGCTTGGTGGCAGGTGCCTCTACCTGCTGAGCTGCCTCACCTTTACCTGCTGAGCTGCCTCACCAGCCCCTTCTGCTGGAATTTTGAGTCTCTGAGCCTGATAGCAGAACGAACAACAAACCAGGAAGCTTCCTGTAGCCAAGCTCTTTAAAGCCTTCCCTCCTGGGGCTGGAGAGATGCTCAGGGGTTAAGAGCACTGGCTGGTTCCCAGCACCCATATGACAGTTAACCATCCATAACTTCAGTTCCAGGGGAGCTGATTCTCTCTTCTGGCCTGTGCAGGTACCAGGCACACATGTGCATGAAGGCAAAACTCATAAACAGAAAAGTAAACAAATAAATAAAATCACACTCCCTCCTGATACCGCAGTTAGGCTTTCAGAAAGCGAGCTACCTCAGAAGCCGCCACCATTTGCGTCGGCAGCTACTTGCTGTTAAAATCTCCTGTTTCTCTTTTCTAGGTGTTTCTTTTAATAGTGTTTACACTCAAATTTGGAGAGTCTTATTGCATCTGGCTGCTGATCCCTATCCAGATGTTTCTGATTTGGCCATGAAAGTCCTCAACAGCATCGCCTACAAGGTATGTGTGAAGACCACTGTCAAAGCGCTTACATTTCTGGTTCTTAGTCATGATTGGTCAATGGTCCCCAGGCGCATTGAGGCCTCCACCACGGTTTTACAAATACCATGAGTGAAATGTACTTTAAACAGACATTCTGAATTTAGAGCCTCGCTGCAGATCCTGCACTGCACTTGAGTCTCATTCTTCTCACTCTCTTTCTTAAGGTAGAAAAGCGTAGGTCTTCCTTGGAAACTGTTGGCTCTTCCCTCTTGAGCTCTGGGAATTAGGCCTAACACCGTCCCTTGTTCTGTCGCCAGCCTTGTGGGTTTTCATCCCACCGATGAGCAGAGGAGTGTTGGTCACAGGGTCCAGGAGCCTAAGAAGCTCTCCTCCCCTGTGTGCTACCCTGTGCATCCCTCCCCCTCTTCCCTGGATCTTGACTGCTCTCTCACCCTAAGAACACAGGGCATTTCCCTTCCCACTGTAGCTGGGGACTGACTAGAAGCCACTTGCAGGCCATCAGCTGGGACAGTTATTTGTTTTCCATCTCTGAGGGATCATAAGCACCCACTGGACCCAACACGTAACATTTGAAAACAGTTATTTCATATTTTTTCTGGTTCTCTAGTTGTTTATTAAAGTTGGAATGTTAACTTTCTTAAATGGAACAAACTAGAAATCATTTATTATAACATTAAAAATATAACTTTTCCATAAAATTTCAAGCATGCAAAAAAAAACTTTGAGGGACAGTACACCCTGCCTGGTGTCCAACCTTCAACTGACCCATCACTGAGGCATTGTCAAGTGTCACTTACTAGGGTGGAAAGGGTCCAGGATCTGTGGCTTTCTCATTCCTGTCCATTGCTTGTTCCCAGTGAGGTGCGGAGCCCTGCCCTGGCCCTTGCTCCCTTCCTGCTCCGGGCTCCCGTCTGAGACATGAATCCCACAGCAGCCACCGTAGTGGGTGTCTTGTCTGCCTGGTGCCAGTCCCCTCACTGAAGCTACGTTCTGTGTGCCCCTCTTTTCCTGACTGATGGGAAGTGCCTCATGGACCACAGGTGCTACTTCTTCAGCTCCTGGTATCACAGGGTAGTAAGAGTCTCCCTGTGTCCTCGGTTTTAAAGGACTGTTGTGGTCGATCTCATCTTGCCATCTACAGCACTGCGGATGTTGCAAAAGTGCATTCTGAGTTTTCAACTCAAGATGTAGTCTCACATGGAGCAAGACACTCTACTAGAGGCGTAGACCTGCTGGTCCGGAGGTGACTTTACTGCTGCATTACTTTTTTGTTGTTATAAAATGCCATGACCAAGGCAACTTATAGAAGGAAGAGTTTATTTGGCTTATGGTTCCAGACGGTGAGAGTCCATAATGGCAGGGGGTGGCAGGGGGCGGGGGTGGACTCAGCAGCAGGAGGCGGCCAGAGCAGAAAGCTGAGTGCTCACGTCTTCAAGCAGGCACAGGAAGCAGAGAGACTGGAAATCCAGCAAGGCTTGAGAACTCTCAAAGCCAGCCCCTAGTCATGTGCTTCCTCCAGCATGGGCATAGCACCTAAAGGGTCCATCACCCTCCCCAGTCTGCACTACAGTCTGAAGACTGAGTGTTCAAATACTTGGAGTCTATGGGGGGGACATTCATTTAAACCATCATAACTATATTTCCTGCCCAGTAATCTTACAACTTAATGCCAAAATGTTGAACATTACACTCAGCAACCTGGGACAGCTTGACTTGTTCTGTCCTGCTGACTTGACCTCCCGGATGGGCCACACAGCTGCTCACTTCCAGCCCTCATTTTGCCTCCCTCCTTCCATGGTTACAGGTCCCACCTACTGTATCACTGTGTGACTCATTGCAGAGTGGGTGCTCCAACCCAGTCCACTGATACATGTCACTGGCCTAATGGAAAACTCAGTGTTTTCATTATTTAATAGAAAACTAGTAAATGATCTAGTCATCTGCTTTTTCAGCTAACAGCAAGATTGATTAAAACAGAAAACTTTACAAAATGCATGTGTTACATGCTATAGCTTGGCACCAAAGGAAGGAGGCCAGGAAGAAAATGGGAAACAAGGCCAAGAAAGGCAGGGAGTCCCACTGGAGAAAGGACTGCCCGTGTGGCTCCGAGCTGTGGCAGGTCCTGAGGCTCAGGGAGCCCCTCCACCTGCTGCATGTCAAGGAAGGCCGCTCCAGCTGCATACTACTGCCTTCCACACTCTGCTTCTCCCACTAAGTGCAAAGTTTCAAGGTTTCTAGTAGGATTGTTCTAAACTTTCCAGTAGGATTGTGCTAGGCTTTGTATGGCCATTAACAAGTGGCTTCAGTCTCTAGAGTCTCTGTTCAAAATGTACGGCCACAGCCCCAGCCTCCTGACCACAGCTGCCCTCACACAGGCTGGGCAGCCCAGGGCCACACTGGGATCACTTATACACAATTGCTTTATAACTTGGTCATGGAAAATCCGGAATCAGTCCATTACATTTATCTTCCAGTGGCTTTTCTGTATTTGCCCTGACAGATACTCCACCTGAATCATTTAAGACTGTAATCCTGGTTCCTGGTACTGAATTTCACAACCATAAGTTCACTGCTGAGGACATGACCTTGGGGTGTTAAGCAGCAGCTCTTAGGAGCCTCTAGTGCAAGAAGCATAGAAACGTTTCTCTCTGTCCATCTTAGAAGTGCGGGCGTGGCCTTCCAGGCCTGGGCCTTTGGAATTATCTTTCACAAATGAAGCTCCAAGGCAGAAGGGCCCATATCCACTTACTGGAAGGAACCTCCTCTTCCTGTGTGTCACCGCTGTTAGGAAGTTACAACACCCACAAAACAGCTTAGAACACTGGCTGAGCCCAGACCCCCAACAAAGTAGCATCTGTGTCTTCTTTGGTGATGGACTGCAGTGTGTACAAGCCAACAGCTGGGTTCACGCCACAGCGAGGGCTGCAGACACCAGGCCGGCTCCCACTGGAGTTATGACTGTGTTATCCCTGAGTCTGCACATGTGTGTCGTCTGTCTGTCTGTGTACATCTAGGTATATGTATGTGTATGTGTGTGATCTGTGTATTTCTGTGAATGTGGTGTCTGTGTGTTGTGTGTGTGTGTGAATCTGTATGTATGTCTGTGTGTTGTGTGCATGTGTATGTGTGTGTTTTAGAGTAAGCATTGCCACTGGAGGTTTGGAAGCATAAAATGGGGAAACCCTGTGCGTCGTTTTAATTCAAGAAGTGCCTCACTTTCTGCTCTTGTGCGTTGTTACGGAGAAATGAGCCGACTTTGCATTGTTTAACTTTGAAGCCAAATTTTTGCTCATCAGAGTCAAAACAGCCTTATTATTATGGAATGCCCCATAGGATTCTGCATTCAAATATGGAAGTTGCTGCCAGCTATGTATGAAAGAATCCACACAGCTCGACAACTAAGGCCTCATTTCATGTTTATAGATCCTCATTCTGTGGGCCTGGGACTTGCATTCTGCTTCTGGCTTTCACTGTGGGAGCTCTCAAACCACACAGAGGTAGAGAGAGGAGATAATGACCCTGAGGGCATCTGTGGCCCCATCAACTCGTGCACCAAGGCTGGGGGATAACAGAGATAGGAACTCTAAGCCCAGGTGTTCAGATGTTGGAGTTTCTTAGTCAGGAGGAAACCTAAAGGCACAGACTCACCGACACACAGTGCCATGGCCTCTGGATCCCTCCAGGAGCCACATCTTCTGCAGGACATTTAGACCAGGCATACTGGAAACTAGACACTGATGCTTAACCAGGACAGAGATGTCACAGAGACCAACAAAGTGAAGACCAAGATCTTCAAAAGTTCCACTAAAGAGAAGTTCCATCAGATTGAGGATGTGGTTCAGTTGGTAGAATGCTTACTTAGCACACATGAAGCCATGGGTCTGTCCCCAGAACCACATAAAATTGGGAATAGTGATGCCTGCCTCAATCCCAGCACTCAGGAAGTGGGGACAGGAGGATCAGAAGCTCAAGGTCATCCTCAGATAGTGAGTTTGAGACCAGGCTGAGATACATGAGACCTATCTAAAAAAGAGCAAAGAAGAAAAAATGTTCTATTAAACGTATCTATAGCCTGGCTACCTTTTAAAGGGGCGGGGAGATCATGAGTCTCAGACGCGTAGTGGGACTGTATCTCAAAAAGACCCTATCTTTTTTTTTGGTCTTTTTGAGACAGGGTCTCCCTGTAGCCCCAGCTGTCCTGGAACTCACTATGTAGACCAGACTGGCCTTAAATGCCTCCCGAGTGCTGGGATTAAAGGTGTGCACCACCACGCCTGGCTAAAAGACCCTATCTTACGACCCACCCTCCCATTGCCAGCACTGTTACTTACCAGCCTGTGTCTTTTGAAATCTTGTTGCATATGGAAGTTCTTTGCATATGGAAGACCAGACTGAGAGATCTGGTCTGCCACTTACAGTCCACTCCTGCCTGGTTTAGGGAGGGAAGAAGCTGGTGGGTAGGATTCCCTGACGGCAGCCACACAAATTTCTCAGTGACGCAGAGTCCTCTTCCTGCAGCACCTCGCATCCAGGTGCCGCGCGCCTGCTGAGACTTCTCTGGGCTTCATTTGTACCAAAGTGGTTAGTCAGTCACCTTGGTTTTAACTGAACATTTCCACAAGTCCCTATTATTTATTTAGGAAATTCGGTTTCCAGAAAATTAAGACAGGTACATGGTCTTCACAGGCACCTCTGATGAGGCAGCAGCAGGCTGTGCACCAGCTTAGCCCTGAATTCTTTCCGTGCTGTCTGTGGAGTAGAGTCCTCTTCAGGAGTTCCTCACACGTAATCCAGACCCTTGATTAAGTTAAAGGGACCCTTCTGAAATGACCCACCTGTGCCATTCTGGTTGGAGAACCACCGTGAGTGCATTGAGTCCTGTAGGGGCTAGTGGCAGGAGTGGGTCCTGCCTGGCACAGGGCAGGAGCCCGGGTGTAACTGAGAAGCACGGCCCCAGTCTCCATCCTCAGAGAGCTCCGTGTCTACCTTCTGCCACAAGAGTGTGCGACCTGAAATCAGTTTGACCTGACAGAGCCACATTTGCCACTGTGAAAAGCTGACTTGGTACTGTGACCTCACCCCTCACCTCTGTGGTGGTTTTTCATCCACTGTGACGGGGGCTCGGGGATCCCAAACCTTCCCAGAGGTGTGTTTGTCTTCCAGTGATTCTGTGCAGATTGTGTGTCATGATGGCAAAAGGGCAGCTAGGCAGGCAGAGCTCACTCTGTTTGCTGAGTCTCACACAGCATCCATCCCCCTTGGTCCATGTCCCTGAGCCCAAGCTCTTCAAATTTCTGAGAGCGTTTTAAGGTTGCCTGGTGAGTGCTCACCATGTGACAGGAGCCCTGAAGGAAGTACTGTCCCCCGAGCCTCTGCCCCACATCCTCAGTCCTCAGTGACACTGTTGATACTCTCACATGACCTGCAGTGACATAGCCAAGGAAAGCCCACCTGAGCCACCCCATGACCTAGCACTCAGCAGAGACTTCCAATCCTGGCAGGCCCTCCTCTTGAGGGTTCTCAACATGATGGTAGCAGCCGTGGGTGGAGATGCCTTGTGCTGTCAGGCAGGCAGCTGCAGCTGACTGAGCTGGAAACCATCGCTCCTATCAGTTTCCTTCTGGAGCTTTCATGAGGGGAGGCCACCATGTGGAGAGACTGTAAAACCAGCTCCCACACCATTACTTCAGGCTCAGTGCCGTGGCCGTGCTTGGGGCAGGAGAGAACACTGGCTGTCTTCAGACGTGTGCTTTTCAAGTCCTGTAGCTTTCCACCTCCCACCACCTGCTGCTGTTTCTCCAGGATTTTGGAGAAGGCCCATCTATGTTTAAATTCTTTGACTTAAGAAATCATAGGTGGTAGGTTAGGGAACAATGATTGGGATGCCTGTAGAATTATCTGAAATTTTTAAATGCCAAGGAAACCGAAGTTCAGGGTGCTACTCTTGCATTAGAAACAGAAATGTCACTTAAAGGCTGATGATGGCTCTGTTTTCCTGCTATCTCCATTTCAAAGCCAGGGATTATCTTGGAAAGGCTGTCTCCTGGCTGATTGTAGGGACAGCACTCCTGGAGACCTGGGCAGCAACCCCTAGAGCAGAGCTCCCAGCTCAAGTTTCTGCTTGCTTCACCATCTCCCCTGAGCTTCTAGAAAGCAGCCTGGTGCCTCCTGGCGCATAGGATGCATCCCAATCTGGTCCTGATGAAGGACACACATCTCCACATCATCAGGCCTTTGTAGCTACCCAGGCTACAGCCAGCAGGTTCCTGCAACCACTGAGGCATGTGAGTGCTGCCAGCAGATCAGCAGTAAGCGCCCCGTTCACTGCTTCCTCCAATACAAGCTGGTTTCTGAATCGACACAAAATCCTGCTAACACCAATCAAACCACTGCCTTCCTGGCTGTTGCATCCTAGGCTGGTGAGAAGCTTCCTGTATAAAAGTTCAAACCCTGTAAATGTCTATGGGAAGCATTTACAGAACCTGCAATCTTCCCTTCTTACACAGGCTATGAACATGCCCCTGAAACATGGGAACGAAAAACAAAGCCCAGGTCACATCCTCTAGACTGTGGGGCTGTGGAGTGGCCAACCAGAACCCTGGTGGCACTAGTGCCCTTTCAGCAGGCCAGACCTGGCCTCTGCGTGGCTTCATCCCTGCTCTGCCAGCTTCCCTTTTCCCTAGTCATTGCATGCCCTGAAAATAAATGTGTCCCTTGTCTGTGCTGGGGACAGAGCCCAGCACGTGTCACATACTGAGTCTGTTCTCAGCCACCGAGCCACACCCCCAGCCCTGTGATGAAGGCTTTAAGTCATTTATACCATGTCACAGCCCAGGACAGGAGCAGGTTTGCGTTGGAGAGAGCGAGAATTTGTGTTTGTTCTACCCCTTCTCCCCGGCCCCTGTGGTTTTCAAGGCCCCTTGAGGAACTCGAGACATTTGTGACTGTACAGCAGCCACAGTCCTGGGCTGTCCTAGTGACTCAGCAACACCCACACTGGCCAGCCACCCAGTCAGACACCAGTGCTTCTCCCATGTCAGATGGGAGCTGACATGTTGCAGGGGGGGCAAGCAGGATGGGGTCAATGCTGAGGACTGGTCCCAGGGTGACCTTGGTGCAGAGGAGGAGCCTTGAAAACACCTCAGTTTAGCTCCTGTAAAGCTACCCGCCGGGATTGCTCCCCAGCCCTGAGCCGAATAGGACCTGGTGAATGGTTTGTCAAAGAAGACTCAGAAGAACAGCACTGCATCCTCAGTATCACCTTTGGGGGCCGTTAGAGGGCCTTCAGGGAGATTCGAGATTTCCTCTGCCAAGAGACCTGTTTTGAAGGGACACTGAAGCAGTCCTGAACCTCATGCTTCTGTCGTTTGTCATTTGCTCTTTTAGGCCACAGTGAATGCCCGGCCCCAGCGCATCCTGGACACCTCCTCCCTCACCCAGTCAGCCCCGGCCAGCCCAACCAACAAGGGTGTGCACATCCACCAGGTGGGGTAAGTGGCCTGCAACATGCCTCTCCCCACGGTCTGGTGGGTCCCAGCCACTACGCCCCACTGCCAGTTCCCGCTCTTCCGAATCCTACTCTATTCGCACTGTCCTTCCACACTCCGTCCCCTCTCCTTCACCCCTCTATAGGCACACACACATACTCATATCTACCTATTCTAATCCCCTTCCTGGAATTCTTCCGTATTTTGAGAACACTTCATTTGCATATAGCAGGTCAGGGAAAGTTCATTAAACCTGATTTCTTTGGAATTTTTTCCAAGGATCTGGGTTCTCCATGTAGATGAACGGCAGGATGGGCTGTGCACTGTCACGTTGGGACACAGTGTGGCTGGCCCTGCATTTGAGTGGGCATGTGTGCCCATGAGCTCTTCCTGGGACACCTTCCCTGGATTGAGTTATCTTGTCCTCGCTGCCTAGTGGAAGACCTCTCAGCACCTGCCAGGAACACCCAGCAAGAACACCCTCACTCACCTTTGGCAGGTGGCATGCCAGGCAGTTGAGGATGTTCTTGCTGGGGACATCTTGGGTAGGGAGGCACTGAGGTCTCATCTCCACATGTCATCTGCTCTCCCAACCGCAGAGGCTCCCCACCAGCATCCAGCACCAGCAGCTGCAGCCTGACCAATGATGTGGCCAAACAGACCGTCAGCCGAGACCTACCCTCTAGCCGCCCGGGCACGGCAGGCCCCACGGGGACACAGTACACCCCTCACTCCCACCAGTTCCCCAGAACTCGAAAGATGTTTGACAAAGGCCCTGATCAGGTACAAAGGCACTGACTGTTTTGCAGCTCTGTGAGCACTTGGTGTTAACAGTGCTGAGGGCTTTACCTTTCTGACATGTGGTGTGGGGCCTTGGTTTGGGACCCTGGCAAGATGGTGCCTGAGCACAGACAGCTCTGCCTCAGGCCTGGTCTTCCTGCAGTGCCTCCTAGGTCTGCTAGTCTGGGCAACTCCATGACACACAATAGGCACGCGGAATTAATTTGCTGTTCTCCCTTCTTGGGTAAACAGCATTTTGCCTCTGCATAATGTGGCAGCTGCTTGGTGGTATTTATTTTGAATGGCTTGTATGTTTTTTCCATAAACATTCAATTACTCTACACAAACAGGCATACTCTGCCTTTCGGTTGGAAAGGAAGTTTCAGGAGGAGCAGTGAGCTTTCGCTCCAGGCCTCCCAGAGCCACATGAGATGAACCTTCCCCAGAGGCCCCTTATGTCTCTTCAGCCACTTTGCCGCTTTCGTGGTCAGACACAGGGTCTGGAGAAGATTGTTTGGGACATGCTTGAGTGCCTCTCAGCAGGAGGAGGCATGGCTCAGTTTGTCTAGTGCCTGAAACAGGAGCCACAACTTGGAGGGTAGTACACACCTAGAATCCCAGCACTCAGAAGATTGAGGCAGGAGGACCACCGGTTCTAGCCTGTTCCAGACTACAAGTGAGACCCAGTCAAAAGAAAAAATGCAGTTGCAGGCCCTTGTGTGCTGACTGGAGCAGAATCACCATGTTGGTGCCTAGCAGGCCTGTTGTAGCAGCAGCTGGCAGGTCTCCTGCTCTTGGCAGCCCCCAGCCTCCTGTGACTCTCAGCTCCCTGACAGCCAGCAAGCTCCAAGTGCAGTCAGCATCTGGGTTGGCCCCTGACATGTAGCAAGCAGGTACAGGGTGCCATGGTCTAGAGGAGCAGCACATCGAGCAGCAGGTGTGTGCAGCCCACTCCCAACCTCCCATCAGAGCCAAAGCCGCTGTCTCCAGGAGGGCAGTGAGCCTGTCTCTCACTGTGACCCCAAATGGTGGGAGCTCCTCTCTGCCAGCATGCAGTCTGTGGGATTTTTTTCCACCCTACAGCAAGCATAGGGTGGCAGGGGTCTCAACTCATCCTGAACGAGGAACTGATGGGCCAGGGCTTCCCAGCCTCCCACAGTGGGAAGCAGCCACAGTGTAGTCCTCTAGACCTCCCTAGTCCTGAGTCCCAGTTAGAGCCGTGGCTGTCCTCTACCAGGTCGCGTGGCTGTGCCCTTTCCAGCATCTGTGATTGGTGGAGGACAGCCTGTACCAGGTGGCAAATTCGTGGCACAGGCCAATGAATCAAGCATGTGGGCCTGCCCGCCCATGTGTCTCAGGTGACAGGAGTTGGCGGTACTGAGCTGACCCTGGGGAATGGCACAGCAGATACGGATCTTACCGAATGTTCATGGCTCTTACCGATTGTTTCTCCTCATTTTTGTGCTGCTGGGGTTGGAATCCAAAGCACTTGCAAACGCTGGGCAAGCACTCAAGCCACACCCCAGCCCTGATGGTGCTTCCTAACCCAGCTGCCCCCACCCCAGCCTGGCCCAGCTATACAGGGTTTCTTTTTTTCTTTTTGTGAGACAGGGTCTCCCTGTAGCCCCAGCTGGCCTCAATCTAACCAAGATCCACCTGCCTCTGCCTGGCAGTGTGAAGGGTTTCTTGACTGCCCGTGAGAGGAGCACGGAATGGTCTTCTTCAGAAGTCATGTCATTGTCCCCAGTGGCCGTGGTCCCCAGTTAGGCGCTCCTTCAAGTGTAAGAAATGCAGGTGCCAGGCACAGGGGCACAGACCTGTGTTCCCAGCACCCAGGAGGTAGAGGCCAAGGGTGAGAAGCCCCAGGGCCCTGTGTCAGAGAGAAAACAGTGTTAGGACAGTGAGAGCAGCCTGCTGATTCTCCTCTTCCCAAACACCCTGAAGACTGCAGATGATGCAGACGACGCTGCTGGACATAAAAGCTTCATCTGTGCTGCGATGCAGACTGGGTTCTGCGACTGGAGTGCCCGCTACTTCGCCCAGCCAGTCATGAAGGTGAGTCTTCAGGTCAGTGCCATGGTGGAACCTGGGATGGTGGGCCCCCTGCTCCCTGAGTGCTAGCACCCGAGACTGGGAGCCCCACTCACTCCATGATTTCCCCTTTCCCCCATGTCCCTGACACTGGACTTGGAGCCTGACCCTTCTTCACCCTTCACTCTCTTCCTGGTGGCACAAAGCCCCATCCTTCCCCATCTTCTACCTTCCCGGGACCTGTCAGACCGAGCTGGGACCTGTGACCTGAGCAGGTGGGCTGGGCTTCAGGAGCCCTTAGCTGCCCTCAGCCTCGCCTTTGAGGCCTCTGTGGCTCCTGTCATACCACTTTGCGGACTGTTGTAGGGCGACCCCAAAGTGCTATCATAGTGCACGTTGACACTTAACTGTCAACAGTTAAGACAGGAGAGCCGAAGAGACAGACTTTACTTTCCTCCTGTCTTCTCAAAGGAAAGACAGAAAGTCTGCCTGTCCAGAACGTGCCATCATGAAGTACCACCTTGTCCTCACTTGCCAAGCTAACCCTTAGTGCAGGGGTGTGCTTGGGCTAATCGTAACTAAGTCCGTGCTTGGGCCTCAGCACTCTGGAGTCTATGGGGCTGGGTTGCTGGCACCAGGACTCACTGACACTGCAAGACTCTCTCCCTGCTGTAGCCATAGTGTGAGATGTTGTCAAGGCTGCAGATTTGACCCATGTGTCCAAGCTGGTGGCCCCAGACCTGCCCTGAGATGGAGTGGCAGCTACACTTGCTCAGCACAACCTCAGTGTGTTTCAGGAGTGCTGCTGAGATTCACTTCTAGATTTGTCTATGGTCTTAAGCAGGTCCACAGAGTCTCCCCCTTCCTAGATATTGACAGCTGAGAATTGAAAGTCATGGCATGCCCCTAATTGCATGTCAAGCCAGATGTCCAAGTGATGTCTGTGAAAAGGGTCTGGACTCCATTGCAGCTTTCTCCTGCTTCCTCTTTCCCCAGAGTGAAGATTGGTCTTAGTCAGTGAAAGCACAAAATAATTATTGTCGGTACCTAAGGCAAATAATAACATTGTAATTTCTTGGCACCTTTCCTGACAAAGGGGAGATTTCCGTTTTTTAAGCAAACTGGAAAATGTAAAAATGACCCAACTTAGGCTGGGCATGGTGGCGCATGCCTTTAATCCCAGCACTTGGGAGGCAGAGGCAGGTGGATTCTGTGAGTTCAAGGCCAGCCTGGTCTACATAGTGAGTTTCAGGACAGCTGGGGCTACAGGGAGACCCTGTCTCAAAAAGAAAAAAAAAAAAATGACCCAACTTACCAAGCCTTAAGCAGTCATTCCTTTCAACCTAGTCATTTCTTTGCTAAAATATAAAATATTACAAAAATAATCAGAACTATAGAGGATCTCGATGTTATTTATTTTTCAATGTTATTTATAATAGCAAAGATCGGAATCCACTTAAACAGAGACTGAATGGTTTAAAAATTCTGAAATGGCCGGGCGTGGTGGCGCATGCCTTTAATCCCAGCACCTGGGAAGCAGAGGCAAGAGGATCTCTGTGAGTTCAAGGCCAGCCTGGTCTACATAGTGAGTTCCAGGACAGCTGGGGCTACAGGGAGACCCTGCTTCAAAAAGACCCCCCCAAAAAAATTCTGAAATGGGTGTGGGGTGCAGTTAATGACAGTGCACTTGCCCAGTGTACCCCAACTCAGATTACATGCCAGTACTGCAGAAAGTAAAAAAAATAAAACCCTCCTGAGCTGCTGGACTAAGGATATGACTCTGTGTAGAGAACGCACCCATTATACCATAGGCCTTAGGTTCTATCTCTATGGTCACAAAAGAAGTAAAGAAAATGTTATGAAATGTTTGGTTAGATATTATTGGAGCTATTTTTTTAATTTTATGCGTATGAATGTATTGCCTGCACGTAGGTAAGTATACCCGTGTTGTGCAATGTCCGCAGAGGTCAGAAGAGGGTGTCGGATCCCCTGGGACTGGAGTTACGGACAGTTGCTAGCTTTTTTTTTTTTTTTAACTATTAAACTTTAAAGGTAATTAGTGGCAGCCATGTGTGGTGGTGTGTGCCTGTAATCCCAGCACTCAGAAAGTTGAAGTAAGAGGGTTATGTCTTCAGAGTCAGCCTGGGCTACATCCCGAGACCCTATCTCAAAACAAAACAAAAGATAGTATCATAAGGAAATGCTCCTGACAAAAATTGAAGACAAGGCCAGAGGCTGAAGCTCTAGTGTGATGGTAGTTACACAGGCCACACATGACCCACATACTCATGGAAAGCCCAAAAGGGAACTCTGCAGCCTTGAACACCATGATAGTAGTAGCACTGAGTGTAGTTTTTCTTAATACATGTCTGTCTCCTGCTATCTTCTTACCCAGCATGAAGGACCTTCTGTGTGTGCGTCAAGCTGTGGCTAAAAAGCACAGGTCCATGACTCATCGCTGCACTTACCTCCCATTCATCGTTTTGTCTTCACACAGGAGGAGCAAAGTGCTCTTTCCTGATCACTAGGAGTGGTTGAGACAGGGAGAACACACTTTGGACTTGGGCTCAGCGGGCTAGAGCTACCCAGATGGTAAACAAACCTGTGCTGGGGCTCTCAGACCTGGGCACCTACAGAGTTGCCCTGTAGAGCCATGTGTGCACTGTTGAGAAGTTTAGCCGCACTGTGTTTTCCCAGTGTGTCGGTGCCTGTGGAAAGCAGATCGGGGAGTGGAAACACCGATTTGGTTGCAGCCTGAGGTGGCAGCACTGTCTGAGATGCGTGTTCTCTATAGTGCTGGGTGGTAAACTCAGTCTCAGGAAAGAAGGACTTGAAGTGAATTTTAAGCTTTAGAAGAGGGAGCTGGGTATGCTTTATCTTATTTGAAAAAAGTTTTTCGCCGGGCATGGTGGCACACGCCTGTAGTCCCAGCACTTGGGAGGCAGAGGCAGGTGGATCTCTGTAAGTTTGAGGCCAGCCTGGTCTACATAGTGAGTTCCAGCCCAGTTGGGGTTACAGGGAAACACTGTTTCAAAAAGACCAAAAAAAAAAAAAGAAAGAAAGAAAAAGTTTTTCCACTTTTCCTGGATGGTCTGCATAAGGACATTGTTTTTATTAATTTAATCACCTCATTATGTTGACTTAACTAAATGCATCAGGAGCTTCTGCCATCAGCCTGCTTCATGGGTGGAGCTAAAAGTCCTTCTGAAGCTAAGATTAGACCTAAAAGAGCAAAGACGCTCAACCCTGTTTAACGGCCTGTGAGAAGCTGAAGTGCAGTTCAGAAACAAGCTGCACCGTGTGCATTAGCTAATCGCTGCAACCAAGTACAGCAACGAAGCTTAGGGAAGGGAGCGTTACCTTCGGCTCAGAGCTCTCGGGGACATTCTTCATGTCAGGGAAGGTACGGCAGCAGGAGCCTGAGGGAGCGGATCGAGCAGTGTTCACAGTCAGGAAGCAGAAAGTGATGAATGCTGGTACTCAGCTCCCTCCTCCTTTTATTTAGTCCAGGACCCCAGCCCACTTAGGTGGGTCTACCCTCCTCAGTTAGCCAATCCAGGGAATCCCTGACAGACACACCCAGAGATTTGTTTCCATGGTGATTTTTTTTTTTTTTCTTTTGGTCTTTTTGAGACAGGGTCTCCCTGTAGCCCCAGCTGTCCTAGAACTCACTATGTAGACCAGGCTGGCCTTGAACTCACAGAGATGTGCCTACCTCTGCCTCCCTAGTGCTGGGATTAAAGGCGTGTGCCACCAAGCCCAGCTCCATGGTGATTTTTAATACCATCAAATTGATCATCAGAGTTCATGAGACAGATAGACAGACTCACATACACACATACACACACTATGCTGGATTCCACAGCTCATGTATGCTGTGTGATCCACAAAAGAATATTCGAGAGAGGCTGTCATGTGCTTAGAGAAAAAGATTTCTTGAATTTATTTCTGATTACAAGAGTAATTTTTCCTTTTGAGTTGGCAAGTTTCAGAGAGTGATCTGTCCAAAGCTCAGTGCATAAAGCTGTGGGAGGCACAGACCCTCAGATGCTCTTGGTGGATGGGTAAATGCCATGTTCCCATAGGCACGTACCATCAGAATTGTAAATTGTTATACCACAAACCAGCAGTCCAGCTCTGAAGAATATGGTCTTAAAATCACTAAAATGTGTGCGTGCTGGTGTGCATCCAAAGGTGTTGCTGTGCGGCATTGCTTGCAATAGCCAAGAGCTACAAATGAAGAGAGTATTAATTAGGAGAATTCATTCAAGTTGCTCAGCCACAGACTAGTAGAATGCTGCACTGCGTTAATGAGTTGCATCTGTCTCTGAGGACATGGTAGGATGCCCATGGACAGAGCACCTAGACTGCTGAATGCTCATGCAGATGCTGTTGGGTGCAAGGCTGCCTATCAAGCTGGGCAGCCAAGGGCTTAGGCAGGGGGGTTGAGTCAGGATTTTAGAAAGAATAGTTACCTGTTTTGTAATTTTTTTTAATTTATTTTGCTTTTAATTATGTGTGTATGTGTTGAGCCTATATATGGGTATGTGCACATGACTGCAGTGCCCAGGGAGCCCAGAAGAGGGTGTCAGGTCCCCTGTAGCTGGAGTTACAGGTGGTTGTGAGCTGCCTGACATTAGTGCTAGGAACTGAACTTGGGTCCTCTACAAGATCAGTATGCATTGTTAATGGCAGAGCCATCACTCTAGCCCTTGTTTGCCATTTTAAGCCTGTTCAATACAGTTTTAATTAGAAAAGAGCTTTAAAAGTAAACTGTTCCATGGCATCATGCTTAGTGGGTGTCAGCATATCAGATCTCAGCCCTGAAGATTAGCAGCATCTGTTCCACAGAGCATAGGCAGACCTTACAAGACTTCTCACTGATGTTGAATGACATTTCAGAATCTATACCCTTTATTAAACATGTACATCTATGAAACTTGGTTTTTAAGTAGATTATTTAAAAATTGGAAAATAGAAATCATATAGATAAATGGACTTACCCTCTACACACAACTCTGCCT